CGTGGCAGGCCGCCCTCCGAAAAACCCCGACGTTGGCTTGCTCTACGTCAGCGTCCCACCACCCTGCCCGCAGCGCGTTGCCACCAAGCAGCAGGAAGAGCCCTACGTCTGCTCTGCCATAAAGCACTTGGACGCACCCAGGCAAAGCAAACACCGGAGGAACAACCAGGCACTGGCAGAGGGTTGGGCTCCGGCAAACGGGCTCCGCTCGAGCAGTCGCCTTCCCCACACCTGCGCCCCCCGGCCCGGGCACTCGGCCAGCCCTGCCCGTGCAGCGCCAGAGCCCCAAAACTCAAAGCAATAAACCTGCCGTGGCATCGCCTGGGTTCCCCCCGTGAGCTCCCCTCCCCAAGCATGAGGTGGTTTCAGGGGAAGCACCAAGCAGCTCTGCTTGATCCAACAGAAGATGGAGGGCAACTTAGGCAAAACTAGGGGACATATGGGCCAACACAGCTGCCTTAAGAAACCCTCTGAGCAGCTAATGAGCAGAGCCGAGCACTGTGCCTAGGGAACACAGGCAGATTCAGTCCCAGGAACCGTCTAAAAATAAAAATCAAGAGCCTAGCGATGCCACAGACAACAGGTTTGCACAGCCAGCAGCCCCTTGCCAGACCACACAGACTTTTATGGAAACACGAAAGGCAACAGGGGTTGTTTTCTTTAGAAGAAAAACACATCCCAGAAAAGCCAGGCACACCCGAGCCCAGGCAGAGAACTCTGCTCGTCGTGTCTCAGAAGCGATTCCCCTGCTTCTGCCTCAGCAGCAGCTGCCACTTGTGGAAAGGAAGAATTTTGCACCCTTCAGCTGTGGGTGTTTGCAGAGATTTGTCACTATTTGCTTGGCTGACTGCTTCACCCAGAACTGTGTCACAAAACCAGGGTCCAACCCAAACCCATATAACTAGATATTAATACTCTGCCCAGCAATGACAGCCACACTGGGTAGAATAGGGCAGGCTTTTCAGGGAATATCGTGCTGTTCAGCCACCAGATTCTTGTTGCCATAGCAAAAATCATTTATTTATTTGCTAGGATTTGAACAGTAACGAGTGAAAGAGTACCCAGGAAAAAGAAGCCAGGGTAAACATTGTCCAACAAGCGTAATTCTGAGTAGTCATACAGGGCCCACTTCGAAAAGGAAAAAAGCCAACCTTGTTTCAGGGGATGCAGGCTGTCAGGACCCAGTCCGCACCCAGACCAACAACGAAAGAGCCCCCAGGTACGGAGACATATTAGAAATAAAAATAACCACTTTACAGAACCCAACCTGCGACATGAACAATGACAGTCATCAGACAC